ACTTAAAAATTGACGCAAACTCAGTAGAACTATAGAAACTTAAAGATATGGATACGTGTCATTCATTAGCTATGACAGAGCAACGTGTATTCATGGACAATCTGGCCCACTTATATTTTACCGACTCCAAAATCTCATAATTGATATTGCTCAAACTTTGCTAAAGGAGGTTATGTGTTATGCTAGTCATGAAACTCATATCTAGCGCACGGAAAGTCTGATTGTAAGGTTACAGACATACGTTAGTAAAATTACAGAATTACCTGAAAGTTGATTTGGTGATGTAATTTGACATACTGACGACGGAAAAACATCCCATTTTACATGGTATGTTTTTTGCATAGTTACGCCAAGAAGACGGTGGTGGGTCATGTTCACAGAATTGCCTGAAAAATGATACTAAGGTTAACTCACCTGCTGATCACGATTTGGATTCTGACGTTCCAAAACTAACTTTTGTAAGTTGGTTAGTCACAACAACTGCGAGTTGATCTTTTGAGGGCTTACTAAATGGGAAGGATAGATCTTCAATTCCTCCTACTGCGCACCTAGCAAACCCTACATTATGCTCTAAAGAGTAGGTATAAGTTTGTGTTCAGCATGTTAATCCACTTTCCTGGGAGAAGATTGAGCGAAATCAAATACTGCGAATTTTTGGGCCGTATAAAATGTATCGCAAATTTTACTGTTGTGTAGTCCATAAATCGAAATTTTTCCGTCTAGAACTTAGCTTTTGACATCATTCATCCTCATCCAACTAGATATATCTCATGTTGTTGACCGCTATTTTGTTATAAATCACTGATATCGAACGACCTAATGAGGTAATCTGTTAATCGGCGCTTTTTTCAGGTATAACTCCTTTCAGCGTTCTCCACTAACCCTAGCATGCAATTCATAGCATACTCATACTTTTTAGTGAGAATGGCTAGAAATCTTTGCACACGTTGGATAATTCATTTTAAATCGGAAAGACTTTTATGAGTATGCCTACATAGTTACCATTAAGATGCATCAAGTTTTCTATCTCGAATTATTCTAGATGTTTCTAGTTTCTATAATGCAAGCCCCTTTCAGGTGATGTGAAGCTGGAAAATCTCGAAGTCAAGGAAACTGCCTTAGATGATCTCGATCTTCCTGTCAAATTGAAATTTGGCTATTTGTCTTCATTAGTGCTAAAAATACCTTGGAAGAATTTGTACAATGAACCGGTAATTGCCACTATCGACGGTCTCTACCTTATCGTGGTGCCCAACAAAGGTGTTGTCTACAACGAAGAGAAGGTTTGCCCCAGATTAATTCCTTTACCTGTGTTTTTAATGCTATCTTATCATTATAAGGATGTCCCTTCGCGTCATATCTTTTGTACAAATTTTCAGAGGATCAATTTCACATTTTTAGGCTAAGAAAAATGCTGCAGAGATCAAACAAAAAACTCTCGCACGTCTTGAGGAAGCTCGTAAAAATCGTCGAAAGCCACCAGATCCGACGCAAGACACATTTGTGGAGAAGATGGTCACGCAAGTGATTAAAAATCTTCAGGTAAGCATCTTGAGACTTATACGCTCAGAAACATGCTTTCAGTTTAGGAGTTTATGTGTAACTCACTGCACTTCAGGTCTCAGTGAGTAACATCCACATTAGATTTGAAGACAAATACACGAACAGGCACCGACCATTCGTTGCTGGAGTCACTTTGGAAAAGTTGGATTTTCAGGTAAGAACGTTCTTTGTTTCTTAAAGCAACTTCTTTTTCTTTCTTTTCTATGCGAGAGCTTTTTTCAAGTAGAGTTTCTATTTTTGATTTACATCTTTACTTATATAACATGATTTGTTAGTTTCAACATTCCTCTATCATGTCATCATATCCACTTTCAAAAATCCTTTGTTTGGCCTTTGTTCTTTCTTTTTACTCCTCATTTTCCTTGGCGCAGAAGCTATTGTTTCTAGCAGATGTACTACTCCTTTTGTCCCTAAGAGTTTTTAGTGACTCAGCTCAAAAAATGTAAGCAACTTCGAGAAATGACATTGTGATACTTTACTAGTCGGTGAAATCTGTTAAAGCTTCATTTCAGTTCGGTCGCTTTCTTTCTCGAGTCAAGTCCCTATAGTTTGTAGTGAAAGGCTTATTTTGTAGAGCAGATATCAAAATAGGATGTGCTGGTCCAACTGTGATAAGTTTATATAGTCGTGCAATTTCTAGAGGGACTGAAAAGTCTAGAAGCACTTGTGAAGATATGCTAGTACTGCATTCACTCTCTTCTCTTGAATTATCTTATGTTCAAATCAGTTTCAGCAATCGAAGGGCTCTCCTTTTGCGCTCGCTCACAGGAGTTTTTGGTAATGAAGTTCAATGAAGATTATGGTTGATTAAGATTTACGCTTAAGTACCATCTTTAGAAATGAAACACGATCATATGCAGGTAGTATAACAAATAAACTGCGCAGAAATATGCAAAAAGCGTTATCTTCTGTGAACTTGTTCCCCATTCCCAAGTTTGGTCGTTCTTGAATCTTGGCGCAGTACTAATCCTCTAACAACTGACTTCCTTGAGCTATAACTAATATAGTTATAAATCTTTGATCGCTAGCGTTTCGGCGTCTCTTCCTTCTTCAGAGCGTGAAAAGTCAGTACATAAAAACTATTCTTTCAAACACCCAGTATCGCAACTCAATAGAACAGAGCTAGAGCCATAGATTTTGTACTCTAAAAAACAACAATTGTGACAGTGATTTTAACTCAAAACTCTGCAAAAAGTGTTGGTGGCGTACTATGGTAGCTGACAAAAGGTAAAAAGCAAATTCTTAGTTTAAAACAACAATCAATGGGAATACTGATTTTTCAAACAGTGATAATGGAAAATGTATTGAAGTGAAGTAACACTTTCCTCAAACATTTTCCATTCGTTTTCTTCGTTCCTCCTTTTCGTGTATACACCTCCAACAACTTGAGGAGCTAGTCGTCTTTTTACATAAAAATGAAAGATAATATTAATAACAGATTCATGATTTTTGACAGTTGCCCAGCTGTCTACGAAAGCGCAGTGTTGCAAGAGGAATGATCTTAGGGTTGAGATAGCTTAGCCCTACTAAATCTTGGGAAAGTCACAAAAAAGAAATACCGGTTTTCTAGGATGCTTTTTGAAGTACTTTGGTGGATACCGAGAACAGAAAGTTGTGCATTTGTCAGCTTTACTGCGCTCAACATTTCCTGTCAAATCACTAAAACGAAGTTATAAACTTCATCTTAATTGAGAAATCAAGAAAAACAACAAAGACTTTTCTTATTTCATTCAGACCAAAAAAATTTTATGTTGCGCAGTTGACTACTAGAATGTACGTTTCAAGAACTTCACGATTATTACGATATACATACAGTATTTCACAAATAACGGAAAAAGGGCAACAACAGAGCCAAATACCCCTGGAAGGTGATAGAGATTGTGCAATTGGGAGTCGGCAGAGAACGACCAGAGCCGACAGGGCATCTGGCTCTGGTGAGTTATCTTGGCTCATCATCCATATCATTCTGCTCATCATAAGGAGTATCCAGCTGACAACTGCGCAACCTTCTTAAGTTTTATCGTAACGAATTATTTCCTACTTTCTCTTGATTTTCACTACTCATTCGGTGTATACTTTTCTATAGTTCAATTTTAAATTATAGTAACCATTACTTCAAACGATGCATGACTTTTGAAGTTTCTAGACACATCAACTTTAAGAGGAATAGTAATTGGACATTCAGTAGTTGCTCCTCACACTTTGTGGCCCTTTTCATTATCATTTTCTAATTTCGAGAAATAAGCCTTTTCATTTCTCATGGAAAAAATACCTCATTAATCTTCTCAATGTTCACAGTTCTCATGTGTTAAGCAAAGGCTATTTCTTCCCTCACTGCCTTTATATTTCTCAATCTTCAATCTTCTAGTGTGCAGAAAGGTTATAGACAGTGTTCGGGCTCCAGACACGTGAGTTATTTAAACTCTGTTAGCGAGGATCCTACCCTTACTTTGCTCATTAATGAAGGTGAGAGCCATGGCTCTATGTATCTAATTTATGGTTAGGGCCAGTTTCTAGCGAGTTGGCTTGCAATCGTCCAACATAAGGCTAACAAGATGAGCGCTAACTTAGTTACGTTGCACTAAAGCATCATTGTGGAAAGGAAATTTCTGGGAAATGGAAAACTCATCATAGAAATATATGTAAAAAAAGATTTGTAGCTTCTTATACGTGCTGTTAACGTTCCTGTCCAACAACTAAGATTCTGCATATTAGGCTCCTTTTTAGTTTAAGTAATTTTTTACTTAGTGTCCTTTTCAGGGCTTACCCGTCTAAGAGTAAACACATCAAAAGTCGATTTCAGGAAAAAATTTAGCCAGTCTTGAGCATCTCAGTTGTGGCTGTCAAAGTATTTGTAATATCTTTGCTCGAACTGCTTTCACATCGGTAATTTACCAAGAGGTTTTTTAAGGGGTCACACAGCTTACTGCCTAGAATCATGATGAAATGAATATGATCTTTCGTTATGGACAAAGCTAAAATGAAGATGACGCGAGCGCAAAGGACTTGAAGAGCTTTAATGTTGTTCACTTCTCTCCTTCCCCCCTTCCCTCTCTCCTCTGGCTTCCATCCTCCCCTTATCTCGTTGATAGTGAAAGGTTTAGTGTGATTCCCGTCCAGTTGGCGTATAAAATAGATTCATTTGAAAATTTGGTTATTCGAACTCGCCGATTTTCGAATAATTTGAAAGCTCTATTTGACATTTTCTACTATCGAATACTTTCAAAATTTGAATATTCGAGAATTTCAATTCATTATCATTCAACTATTTGACAATATTTAAATCGTTATCCGGGATCTCAATTGTTCGACGATTATTAAATATTCGAGTATTCGAACAACTTGTTACTCGAATAATCGAAAACAGTACTCGATCAAGTACGCGAGACAAAGAACTTGAACTCACTTTTATTACGGTGTACATCTCCTGGGGGACCTCCCAAGACAATATAACTCATGACATAAAAATCAATCTCTCTCACGTTGTTTTTAAATGGAGCTGAACTTGTTACATGACTGTTGGAATACTGCTATCAAAACGTTAATAACTCGGCATAAACACCATGGTTCAGGTTTGTATTAGCTGCTACAGGCTACAGCGGTTCTTATAAGGGATCATATGTATATGGTCACCATCCTAGAAGATTTGACAAACACATGGTCCTCCGAGAATAATCACGCTTGGGCTTACTCTAGGCATCTCTGAAATATGGCCGAATTCACAACTTCGCACTTTTAAAACCATAAAATTGTGTTCTTTATGAGGTGGCATAGGTGCCGGTCACTACTGCGAGTACATTTTTGTGAGGAAAAAGCTCTACCTACAGCTTTACCAAAGAAATATCAGCTCAGGTGTAGCTCTTTCCTACAACCAACTCTAGAATAAAGAAATTATGCTGCATGTTAAACTGATAAGGTGACGAGAAGTCGTGAACTTTTCCAGCTGTAAAACATTATCCCAAGATGATGGTCGATCCTTTTACTACTATTGAAATACGACTTATCAATCTATACAAACGAGTGGTGTTTTAATGATATTTCTTGAAAAGTATTACTGAATTTTGAATGTAAATTTTCAAGAAAGATTGCTTTTCAGAAAACTCATCTAATACTCGAACATTTGAAAATTCGGATTCGAAAATTTTAAATTTTGATATCGGAAGAATGAATATTCGAACTTTGATTTTCGAATAATTCAGAAATTATTATTTTCGAGTTATTCGAATATTCGAAATTTTTTTGATAGATGATGTTTCCTTATTGCTTATGTCTACACTTTTAGACCACCAACGAAAACTGGATTCCTACGATTCATCGTGACATAGTAAAAATATTCCACAAATTAGTCTTGCTGGACAATCTTTCGGTGTATTGGAATTCCGGCTCCGAACTGTTCTCGGATCTTCATGATAAAGCAGAAATTCGAACAAAACTTCAAGCCACCATCCACACTGGCAACAACCCTCCGACAGGTTACAAGTATAGTAAGTAAATTTATATCCACTTGGTGTTTCTTGAGTGAGAATGACAATTGTGATAACATGAACTCTGTAGTTCTCGAACCGATTACGATGCAAGCAAAGTTGAAGTTGAATCAGAAACCTGAGACTGATGGAACTAATTGGAAAACCCCGAAGGTCTGCCGAGTATTTTTTTATTTTGCTTTTACCTTATCCCATTTAATATCACCTCTAGATTGATCTCTCTGTTGATATGAAAACGCTGGCCCTAGCTATTGGTAAATTCCAATATCAAGATATTTTGTTATTTCTCGAAGCGCAAGAAAGGTAAGACGTTTTCTGCTCTAATAGTCAACTTCAAATTGTCAGTAATATTCAGGTTTAACCTTGCTACACAATATCTGAAATATCGGCCTAATTTGAACGAATTTAAGGGTCATTACAAGGAATGGTAAGTCGGGAAAGTAAAAACTTAGGAA